TAACCTGGATTTTGCACCTAGTTTTCTTTATCTTTTCAAAAATTCATGTTTTTAACAAGTACAATAAAATAAAACAGTAATAAACCTACAACCTGCTACRAAAGTGACATTGTTCATTAGAAATTCTCTTTGATTTTTTTGAAGGCTGGAATTGATGCTGTAGTGCTTGGTTGTGATATCCTTTGCAAGTACTCAGTATTCTTTGCTGTTTAACTGAGCCACTTTTTTGATTATTATTCTTTTGAACACATTGGCAAAACTTGCTGTCAGTTCCTCTAGATACATATGCTGGCTTGTATAGTTTGCATATTGGCTTTATATAGTTTCTTTATAAAACCTTTCCTTTGAAATTCATCTGTGTTGACTYTTCTGATAAAATATGGAAAAATGTGTATGAACAGCTTTCCATCTGGCAACATTTATATGCAATATATATAAAACCTAGTGAGTAAATTTAAAAAACAGAAAATCAGTATTATTTCAATGCCTTGCCTTATTTAAATAAAAATCATAGGCAGTTTAAATTTGAAATGCTGTGGCTGATGCTTGTTTAAWTTTTTTTTATATTCTTTRATGGCTTTTGTTARWATAATGAATTCTCGTTCWACCACTATTGATTTTTTTGAGTCTTGAGCATTGATATGTGTAGCGAGTATTTCACAYACCCATGACTCTTGATATGAAATAAATGGAAAAAGTAATAATAAATGTCAAAGTTATACTTCAGCTCCCCGTGGGCATCATTGCATGGTATTTTATAGTGGAAGATCTCAGCAAAGTCGATCCTCTTGGTCTGTATACACTAAATAGTACAGAGCAATTATATGTTAAGGTGCTGTATTACAGTGTTCCTGCGATACTGACATGCAGTTTTCATTACAAATCTTGTACTAGGTGAATTCACAAAGGTCAGAACTTCAGTTCTCCTGTTTGCTTAGAACAATTGAGATAAAACTGGACAGGATAAATAACTGGATGTAGTGGAACAGGACATTGTAAAATCCAGGACCTTTCTGTAGGTCAAAAGGAGGTCTGAGGGAAAGTGGTTAAATGTCAAAGAGAGGAGGGAGAGTCTGAGAACAGAATCTGCAATATAAAGTTGTTTGGATAAGGTATTTATTGCTTATTGTCACAAAGAGGGCTTGTGGAAGGAAGGAAGGAAGGAAAGGAGCAAGAAGTGATTGTTTTGGGAAGACCAAAGGGTTCAGGGCAGCATGCTATTCACTGTTCGAGAGGGATGGGGTGGAGCATCCGTATCAGCTGGGCAACATCCAGATATTGTTTAGACCAAGAATAACCAGACCTCCCCTCTGCTTCCAATCAGCAGATCCCTGAAAATGAACTTGGGAAAATCAGGTTCTGAGCATGTTAAATAAAGGCAGATGGGTTCCAAACAGGAATGGGGGCTTGAAAATAGGTTGAGAAAAGGATAGAAGATAGAGAAATTGAGGAGATTGGCAAAGGGGAGGTTTAGCATTAGAAGGGTACAAAAAGTAAGGAAAAGGAGAAAGGACATAAGCTGTATAAATAGAGAAAGTTTCTCAAGGTTTTTTGATTCATAAATAGGGCTTTTACATGCCTTATGTCCTTAGCTTGCTGACATACACTAAATTTAATGAGCAGAGTTTATTTGACAGTCAACAGAGAATATGATAAAATCTCAATAAATAAGAAGGACCTTGAAAGCTGAGAGATCAATTTTTAAAAAATTCTTACTGTATTTGGGAAGATATCAGAAAGATATATCAAGAGATTCTATGTTTATGATGATAAATTGTAAATGAAAAATCAAGTAGAAAATGACAACCAGTGCTTTTGAATTTTCTTATTTGACTTACAAAACTTAAACTCAGTAATTTCATAACCTTTTATTCTAGATACTTTTTATTAGTTTGGTTTTGTTTATTATTTAGGTAATGGTAATGTTGTTGAATGTCTATCACCATGGTATTAAGTGAAATAAGGTTGGTAAATTTTCTCTTGTGGTTACAGGAGAGGTATGAAAGGAAAAAACACTCAGTGACAAAGATTGTTTCCACTACTGAATGTGGAGGAGTCTTGTATTGTTATATGCTGAATTAAGTCAGAGTTTAGTGTGCTTATGTCAATTCTCTTTTCATTTTTCTTGTGAACTTGCTATTGCCAACCTTCCTCCCATACCTTTAGCATCTCCAGTTCAATTGTCACAGAGATACTCAAGAAAAACTATGAATTTTCTCACAGGTATTTTCTTTGCACAGTGCCAAAGTGCCTTTTATGATTCAATGACAATGCTGRGTTGTTTCTGTTTATTCCCTTCTCTCTTCCAAAGCCAGAAGCCATCCTAATCATGCTGATTTCTTTCCAAGGAAATATGTGGTGCCTGTTGAAAAAAATGCTGGGGAGTGGTAAGGTTTTGTTGTACCAGCTATAATTAGTGGGGATGAGGGTAGCTGTTGATTGCTGCTGATGTTGGTATCATTAAAGTGTATCTCAAGATTTTGTGCTGTTACCAGGGAATGTACTCAGAAATGCTGAGTTCAGTATCCATTCATACTGGAAACTAATAGAGGATGCTCAAGTAACTCTTTTGTGTGCTGTAAACATTCCTCCGATAAGCTTTTTAGGGTCTAGACATGAGGTGTTTGGTATGCWTCCATCTACTGACAGCATTATAAATATTGCATTTCTGACCTTCAGATTTTCTCTTTTGATCTCTGGTTAAATGATATATTTGTCAGTTTGACACTGCTGACATTCTGTCTGTTTGGTCTAGCATTGTTATATTGTGATTCCTTGTGATCCCATTGTCATGGGAATGATAAATCTCAAGTGATGAAAATACTTTGAAGCAGTGTGGGGAATAAACACACTGGCTAAACTTCACTTGCAACAAGACTTTTTTTGTTGTAAAATGCCTAATTCAGTGTCCAGTATTAATGATTAAGGTRATGTTGATGTATTTAAGAACATTGCTGTTTCATCAGATAGTATAAAGGAGGATGAGCTGCTATTTGGGTGGATACTGAGTGTCCTAATAATGGTTTCAATACAATTTGCCCTTGCATTAGTTTCCCCATGCACTGCATTGGGCAAACCTGCAGGACAATAAACAGAACAGTGGTGGAAATAGAAGCTTCCTTCTTTCCCTCGGTGTTGAAAGCTCACTTCTCTAGAAATGTTCTCTGGAACTGGTGAATATTAACTTCACATCTAGAGAAGTGAACCATAAACTACAGGAAGTGAGAAGAAATAAACACAAAAATTTGCATTCCAGTATAATGTTTTTCATATGCTTGTTTTAAGTTTTTGAACGTCTCAAAAGCAGTCCTACCTTAGAATTCCATGCCTGTTTTCAAAAGTTGATTGGATGTATGATGTGAATAAAGACTTGATAATGTTACCTGCATTCCTGATAAAATGAAGTCTGTTTAGATTCAAGTATTTTATGAAAAGTCAGTGGGAGTTTTTTATGCATAACCTTCATGTCCTTGTTCCTTTCTTATAAAAATGAAATGAGAACTTTCAAAAAAAAATAAAGTTGACAATAAATGTCAGTCTGATAAAAACCTCACCACTGACCTTCAAAGCAATGAGATTTGACTGTGATATGGTTATCCAGCCTAGAAGTTACAAATGAGATGATGCAGTGATGGTTTTCGTCCTCTGGAAYGTACACGTTCTGCATAACATCCCACGCCTCATTTGTCACCTCTTTTCCACTGTCTAGAGTATGATCTATTATTTCTGCTTGCAATTTTGCATCTCTCCATTGTTGGCAGACTGCAGCAGACAATTGMATTCCCTGGCAATTCTCTCCTCTTGGTCAGCTGTGTCCCAGTCCATAATGCTCCATGTGCTGTGCTGTATATATGATCRGCACATGTGAGTGTAAAAACTATGGGAACAATTGCTGGCCCTGACACACCTGTATCAGCAAAATGAAATGGAATGGCCCACAGCTTATAACTGATTAGAAGTTATTTAATGTCCTGGTGAAATTGCTTTTAACTGTATTCCTCCCTGCTCTTTCCTGTTTGCTTGGGTGGCTGACCTTTAGTTGGGCTTTCAGGCACAGACATCATTTCACCTTTTAGAGCTGCTGTTCTGCCCCAGCGTGTGCTGCAGGCACTCTGATCCAGTGACCCCATTGCATCACTGACATSATGCCTTCAGTGCTGCTTAAGTGGCCAGTCCAGCTTTTGGATTTCTACTGACAGTTTGCAGGGTGCTTMCATCAGCTTCAGTCATGTTTTTGTTTTTGTTCTAAAGAAAGCTCAATAACATGTAAGGGACAATAGCTATCAAGAATTTTCAGGTTGCACCCGGAAAGCCTTACTCATGAAATAATTTCTTTGTTTTCTGAGGATCTTCCTCACTTCTTTTGCCCCTAACTTTATCCATCAAGACTTCATAAATAATTGCAGATCCAAAAGGAAGCTTGAATTGAGGAACTGAAAGAATTAAGTGTCTTAAGATCTAAGATTCTGCTCTGGATGGASTGAAGTCAGGAACGTCATGATACTATGAATAATTATTTTGATTTTCCTTTTAGTTCTCATGACAGATGAATTTCACTCAGCTCTCTCACCTCTTGCTGCTTCTCCCCTGTGAGTCAACACTCTAAGAGTAGAACTGCAGGAGACTAAGGTCTGAAAGAATGCAATATTTTTGTGAGGGTTTTGCACACTTTGAGTGTTCTAATAAATGTTCCACACGATTTTTTTTTTTTTTTACATTCACTTCCACAGAATATGCTGCAGAAAACGGTTAATCTGTTTATTTTGTTTAGATATCTAAATGGCAAATCTCTAGCAGATAAACCCATTAATTTTTATAAACTGAGTAAGCAAAGATAAAAGTGCTTTCAGAAAGGATGCCTTTTAGTGGACTGTTTTATTAACATGACCCCAGAATCACTCAGTTGAAGTTCAGGGAGAAGGGCTTGAATCAAGTGAAGTGCTGTTTATTTCCGGAGGGGATCTTTCTTAATCCTCAATGTGCTTTGCTTAATGTTACAGAATCTTGTGGGGGAAGTTAGTACTTGCTGCTCTTTGAAGTTACCAGCTCAATTCTGAAAWCTTTGCAAGAGAATGGAACACTTGGCTGGACTGACACAGCACAAAGGMGGTGAAATCACATCACTGTTAACAAATGTTTCTCAGCACGTTTTGAGAAGATGAACTGGTGTGACAAAGAAGTGAAGAGGATCAATGGTAACTATGCATTTTACTATTTTAATAACATTTCAGATTATAAATATCAGCTCATTTCCACCTTCTGCATCCCCTTCCATCCCCTCAACCATGATGAGGACCACAGAGAATGTGTACTAACACAGACTGCACTGAGGAATAAGCTATTAGTCAGTTGTAGCAAGTGAGAGACTGTGTTTTTTTCAGTCAGTACTAGAGTGGAAACAGAAACCAGGGAAGACTTTTTGAATGGTGAAAGGCATTTTAAGTTGAATAGCTTTCTATCTAGTGCACCTGATTTCGTATAATGTGTAACTAGTAAAGCTTTCTTCTAAAAGATTGGCACAATGAAGTTGCAAATCCATTTTGAAATGGTCTGCTTGATTTGAAGAACGAGTAGTGAACTTGGAGGTGAAAGTTGCTCTCACCAAAAGTACACACAGAGCAGATGTCAGTGGCCACATACACATACTGTACAGTTTTTTCCACTTCTTCAGGAAAATGTATTGAATGCCATTTTAATTAGATTTAATTTCACTATTCTACATTTGTTTCTTACAAGATTAACAAATATAATTTGAAGTAAGTCACTGCAGTGGCGAATCTCCTATCAGCAATACTTAGACATATTTATTGCCCAGGAGAAATTCCAAAAAGAATAAAACACTAGTGAGCCAATCATGATTTAATTAGTTCTTTTCCTGGATATTTTTTCTATATATTATTATTCTGAAGTTTAATAATGATGATCAGAAACAYATTGCAAAGCAAAACAATGAACAATTTTTGCAACGGTTGCAAAAACCTGCTATCACTGAGTTACTCAGGGCAATAATTTCTCAGATGGATCATCATGCTCTGGGCCTCTCTTAGCTCTGTTGCTCTTTGTTCAGTGCATATAGGAGATGGTAGCATTTAGTGAAGTACAAAGCACAATAATGTCATGTTGTGGCAGCCCATAAGGGGGAGTATTCAACTGCSTTGGATCCTGAGAGCTCAGGAACAGAGAAAGGAGATCTAATGTGAGGCAGTTGATGGTGAAAAGTAACATCCTAAAAGAAGTGTTTGGCAGTCCTTCAGGCTCAAAATAATTTTCATCCCTTGTATGCATAAAATAAAAAAGCAAATGTCTTACTGAACCAGAATCAGTGTAATTAGTTTTCAAAAATGGAAGGCTGGTTTTTGTTGCTGCTTTTTTTTGTTGCTTTCATTTTCTTTTCCATATTTATGAAGGTTCTAGCTGTAATTTTACCATAGATAGTTGCTGTACTTCTTTTATGTTGATGTTGTTTACAAAAGGGCCTTTTACTGTTAGTGCTGTAACTGAGATGCAATCTAGCCCCAGTACACAKTGATGCAGGAGACATTTGCAGCTGTCAGAGTTGGCAGCTCATTGGCTTCTTTTGAGATCTGTGGATAAAACCCAGTGCAGATTAATGACAAGATAGAGTATTTTTTTTTTTTTTTTTGACAACTGACACTTGGTATCAAGGGGGCTTAACATGACAGCTGAGTATTAGTTTATCCTGGCAAATATTGTGTGGAAGGCTATAGAGTAATACCATTCTTTGGAAAGAAAATGCTATACTTTGCCTTTCATTTGGGAATCTCCTTGTTCTTGTTAAATGCTGTTTACACAAGCAAGTCTTAATGTTCCCCTATTTGTCAGCAGTGAAGATAAATACAGAATTTTTCTCCAGTGTGCAACAGCCTCTCACTGAAGCTTCATTAGAAAAATATTGTGCTAACTCTATAAAATATTTTCAAATTCATTTTTATTGTGACCAGCTTATGAAAGGGAGATAAGTGTTACAGTTTCATCTTCTTGTTGGTCTGCCAGGGCTGGTATTCCCATGTGCATACATCACCTTGTAAACAGAAGCTATGCTATGATATGCTAAGTTCTGATTTTGATACACTTTCTGGTGAATAGGTGTTTGCTGATTATATAACTTCAGGACTTAATGTTTGCTCAATTTGAAACGAGATCTTTAGTGAAGACTTTATTTGAAGATGATCTGCAGTYATTGATTGTAAGCCTAATGGATTTTCTCTCCTCTTTTGGATTGATTGAATAGTGATTTCTGAGTTAGACATTTGGGAATAAGTGATATTGAACACAGATATTTCATGTAAGTTTTTATGCTTTAGTAAGCCAAGTTCAAGAAGTGTGTCAACACTAATTGGAAATAATGCCTTTATCTCTATCAAACCATCTCTGAAAATGGCCAAGAGTATTGAAATTTGTCTTAATGACCCCAGAGACAATTGTTTCATTTTTTGAAAGTTTTACTTTTTTCTTGTGTTTAGAGGAAACAGTCTGAAACAGTAGTTACCACTCCTTTCTCAGGTGAACTGTTCAACTATTTGTCATTCTTTCCCCTTTCCAGAAAAAGCAGTGGTCAAAAGAATGAGAAATTTTAGCTGAGATTTTCTTAGCACAGAATTGTCCTCATGCAGGAATATCATCCCTTGGTGTTGAAGTAATTAAATTGTTCACTGAACAATTCTTTCTCCTTTTCAGTTTACTGTTCATATGTTTCTGGATAAAATATTGCTAGATAACTTTGGAGTCTGGGCTTAAAAATTGATTAATTTCCATTTTATGGACCGTATTATCAGCTTACAAGTTTCAATTAAATTTATGAGGTTAGGTTAGAAGAATTTATGCTTAGAACAAATCACATGAAGAAGGAAATTAAACCTCTATGGATAGCACCAAGGTTTATGTGGCAGGTCATAAGGGTCATACGTGCAATGAGACTGTTGTGTTTTAAAAAGGCATGTATCATATTCAGACATTATGCAAAATATTATGGTATAATATTCTTTCCTGGATGGTAAAGTAGTAAGTAGTTGGGTAGCAAGAAAATGTGCCTCTAGTTAATGTACTCCCTCACTCTCTGAATCCTGAGGAAAAGTCACTGTCTTGAATTTTTGTTGATATATGACTGCTGTCTCCAATAAGGTAGAAACAGCTGAATGATAAATGTTTTCAACTTTGAGCACTTGACCTACCCAACACAGACAAAATGTTTTTAACATTCATAGAAGTGAAAAGTGTCTATGTGTGAATGCACCACTATGCAAGTTAAAAGCACATCTTTTCTGCACCACTTGTAAAGGGCACTGCTCCTACTGAACACTTGTTTACTTATTTAGACTTCTGAAAACCTTAGATGAGTCTCTTATTGAAGCACAGTTTTTTTTGTTGCCATCTCTTCAAGTTTCAGTTAGATTAGCTGAAGCAGAAATAATTCAGAAGCTGACCTGAAACTGGGAATGAAAATGAAAACTRTTCAGTGTATAAATCACAACACTCATCTTGGTCTTCTTTTTGATGTACGTTTTAAATAGATTTGTAAATTCATAGGTGTTAAGGCTGCAAATGACTAATGGTCATTATAGAGTGTGACTTTTTGCATAACAGAAATTGATTTATGTAAAACCTTCTCTGGTTTAACATCCCATGACTGTGGTTGAATTAAAGGTATACTTCATAAGAATATTATGTTGATAAAGAGTTTCCAGTGTTGGTAAAYTTTTCACCAATGCATCTGCACAGAAATTGATGAAGGTGAATGGATCACATTTGCCATGTATTTCTGGTGAGAGATTCAATTTATCAAGATAGCTGCATATTGCATCRTATCAGTCTAAATATATTTAAGTCTATCTCAATAGGGCTTGTCCTGCTATGTCAAAATATGACTATTAAAAACCTAGATCATAGTTAAAGGAATGCCTGCAACTTATTTGAACAAGAGCATATGTTTTAAAAGCCCCAAACCGTAGTCAGCCCCCACCCCAAACACTGTTCGGGGCTGTTACCAAAATCTAAAAAAAGCCAGAGATCCAACACATAATGTATTAGGCTGATTGCTCTGGGATTAATTTTGCTTTTGGTTGTGTAGGACTCAGTGTTTACAGAACTTAGATAAGCCAGTAAACGTCGCCAGCAGAAAAAGGTAATATTTTTTTCTTTTCACTTCTCATTCAAAGATGATATTTTAAAGTAAAAAGAACCCTAAATTTAAAAGTAAACTAAGGAATTAGGAGAGCAAGTATTTTGAAATTGTTTTATGTTGACTGGCATCACATCAAGTGAAACACATTTTCCAGCCGAAGCTGAATATGGGGTTTTTTTTTGGATAATTGATATAAAGAGTTTAATTTTGAATGAATGAATGAACACTTTTAATCACAGAGAAACATTTTTGTTTCATTTTGTGGACAGTGTTCTGCCTTTTCCAATCAAACAAGTATTTCTTTCAACAATTGTTCAGCAAGTGAACCAAACTCACTTTCTTTMCCTGCTTGCACTCCTGTACCATCTGCTTCTCTGCTTTCAGTATAAAGCACTTGCCCATGTGAATGCACTAATTGGCACAAGGACTGTGTTTAATTAAGGGCCTTCTATGATCATTTTAGAGGATGAAGAGAAGATTAAATAGAAAAGAGGTGCAAAAGCTYGCAGAGGGAAATTGTTGCTTGTATGACCACAAAACCAAGCCAGGTGTCTTCTCCTGAATCAGGTCTGACTCTGGTCTGTTGGGCACTGTCAGCCCAAACTCAGCTGCTGCCTCCCCTGTTTGTCCCTTATCCAAACAGGGACATTTCTTCCCTTGCACAGGAATTCATTAGCCATAAACCCATTGGGTAATGTGGATAAATAATCCCAGCAATCCTGATCCCTGCTACCCTAACACTGTCCATGTGCCTGAACCTGCTGGCCCTGTTGTGCTTTCAGGCCATAGGGTTGAATTGAATGCAATGCTTAACACTATTGAACTCTGAGCTCTAAAGATTTAACTTGTTCATTCATGTTCGAAAATTATTYCTTTTAGCCAAAAACCAAACACGGTTTTCAGACCTTTGCTCACATCTGTGCTCACTCAATTTTCTCATTTCTAGGCTTCCTGTCTAAAAGACAGACAAATTTGTTTCCTTTGAACCTAATAATTATCCTCACCTAATTGTTAATATAGGTACATTGCATTATACAGCTGAAAAAGG